CAGCTTACCCAGTGTTTGTTTGTACCGTACACTCTTGGTTTGTTTTTGCTCAGTAGTCCGTTTCATGAGGCAGGTTTAATGAAAACTCTACGTTGTCTAAACCTGAAAACAGGGAAACTCGGACTTTTCCATTTCACAAAGGGAGTTTCCTCAACCTCTGTTTCAGTAACATTCTCCGCATAGCTAACCTGGTCAGCAAAAGGTTTTCTTCAGAGAGTCTCTGCTCTCCTTACAGCCAATAACACTCATTCATTTGCTGATATAGTGAGATTTAAATAAACTTTGCATGATCCCGCAATACTTTTGCGAGATTTCGCCAAACGTATTGCTATGTCAGCGAACTGGAAGTAAAACAAACACACAACAGTGGAGGTACAAAGTGTACTGCTATGGGAGGATAATATGCCCATGTGTCAGCTACAACCATGGAGGATGATTTGGAGAGGTTCTTAATATATAGAGAAGTCCCAAAACACGACATTACACGAATGAAGAGAGACAAGGTCAGTATGCAATCCTATGGAGCCCCTAAAGGGACACGGAGGGAAAAATAAACTTTTGTGAGATCCCGCAATAGTTTTGCAGGATCTCACAAAAGTTCTTTTTTTCCCCTCCATGTCCCTTTAGGGGCTCCGTAGATTTGTGTCGTAGTTTTGTGCATAAAAAAATATATATATCTTTCCCTAGGTCCGTTAGACACATTAGGTTTTAAAAACAAAACTTGCATTTCTGTTTGATGAGGATCTTATTAAGAATCATCAGCACTTTTTCACACAGAATTAAATATTTATAGGGAGACGATTCTATAACTCAGTGCCAGGGCACGAGAGCAGTTGTTTTTGGTTTGTTTAATGTAAGAGAGATGTGGATTATTTTATTTTTATTTAGTTATATTTACAGTACATGACGAACCGCTGAAATTATTTTAAGATTACACATAAATAGATTCATATTTAACACAGGGGAAAAATAATGACTTCACAATCTGAGGACATTCTATGGGACTGATAGCTACTTATAACGGCAATTTGTCTGCAAACAGCCACTTTACTGTAAAAAAGAGGATTGAATCAACATGAGGAGGGTTTTTATTCTTCATCCTCATCTGCTGCCCGAAGATTTCACCTAAATAGATACATTAATCTACCACCAATAAAGACATAGTCAAGGTAACACATCTATGGCAACCTGTTTTGATATGTACTAGTTTTACTGAATATGTATTCCTGATTTCTGAAAAAAAAATAAAAATAAAAATTTTTCTTTGTCTAAATGACCATTTCAAACAAAATCACATTCTCCACATCTAGAATAAACATTCTGGATATCTAGAAATTTATCTCAGATCATCATATTAATAATATTAGTGGTCAGCATTTGTATTATTTTAACTATGAACATTTTTTTTTCTGATATAAATATATTTTCGGTCAAGCTGATTAAAAAAAAAAAAAAACCAGCCACTTAAAATTTGTAAATATTTCCAGATCTATATAAATTAATTCTTACTAGAATTATTTATCTATTTATTTTTTTACTTTCTAAAATTCAGTTTCTGCTACAAAAATGTAATTTAGAATGTTTATTATTACAGTTAGGTCTAGGAGTGCGATTTCGAGCAGTGCTTTTAATAAATGTAAAAACGGCCTGCCATAGACCACTTAATATTAACTTATATATTAACTCGAGCAACAATGTTCTC